GGGGGCCGTCACATCCAATTTTTTGCGAGATCCTCTCATTAACCAGAGCCAAGCCTGCAAGGCCAGACGCGCCGTGTTACACTGACAGACTCGTGTCACACGCAAGTGTACCTAGACATGTCGAGCCAAGCGTATGACAAAGTCACCCAAGGGGGCTAACTCAGACACTTGCGGTCTATACTTGATAGATTCTCGGTCGATAGAAACTTGCTAGAGCGGACGAACACGCGGCGGACCACGAGTGGAAGCGACACTTGTCTGAACCATCTCATCGCAACGTGAAAGGGTGTTACAAATATCCTGGGTTGTGGTATTCGTCTCTCTAAAAGGCCTCCGGGCCAGTCGCTGACGCAACAACACTCTTGGGTTGACTGCAAGTACAACAAGCAAAGAACAAACTCCCTGGTCTACCTACATACCATCATTGCATCAAACATCCCACACAAAGAGACAATCAGACAAGTCACGGCTGACCCCCCTTCTCTTTTTCGTTTCCCTTTTGTGACAGAAAAATGGCTCCCTCTTACCCTTCCATCGTCATCATCCCAGGATCCTTCTCCCCAGCGTCCATGTACTACGAAGTCGTCGACAAGATCCAAACGCTGACCGATGGCTCCTCCGACTCGGTCTTCGTCAACAACCTCCCGTCGGCAAGTCGCAATCCCCCAGAAGAGCCCGCAACCCTCGAAGACGACGCGACCTTCTTCCGAGGCATCTTCGAGAAACTGGCGGACCGGGGGAAAGACATCGTGGTCGTAGCACATTCCTACGGCGGAGTCGTGGGGACGGAATCTCTCAAGGGTGTGGGTAAAGTCGAGCGACAAGAGCGCGGACAACCAGGGGGTGTCGTCAGGATCGTGTATCTCTCCGCCCATGTCCCTGAAGCAGGTCGCTCCTTGACAGAGCTTGTGGGAGGAGCGCCGGCTGAAATGGTCGAGACTGGAAAGGTAAGTCAATCACGAATTCAGTGATTTAAAGATGCATGGTGGTGGTCGATTCGACCCAATCCAACTGGAGAGACCTGCTTCAACTTTTCTCCCTACGCTAAAAGAGAATTTACTAACCAGGGGAAACTCATGGCGTTCCTTGGTCCTTGTAGGACGGATTTCTGAGGCTCGTGGGCATCGAGACCATCGCCAAAGCGACCTTCCCGGATATTGACTTCGACAAGGCCGTCGCCGTCGTCAAGACCATGTCCCGCCACTCGGCACTAAGCTTCGCCAGCAAGGTCACCTACCCGGGCTACAAGCACGTGCCCGTCTCCTTTATTATGTGCGCCAACGACATGATCGTCCCGCCGGACCTGCAGCGCGGTTACATCGACATGATCCAGCGCGAGAGCGGGAGGGACGTCGACGTCCACACGCTCGACACGGGTCACTGCCCCAACACGACGGCACCGGATCAGTTGGCGAAGCTGATCGTCGACATTGCCGCAACTTCGTCGTGAAAAAGGAGAAACCAAATGGCCGACCTGTTTGGTCGCTTGTACGAGAGAAAAGGGCAATTCTTTGGAGCGACGTAAACAGGGACGATTGACAAACGGGTTCTTCAATTCAAAGGTATGTAGAGCGATCGAAAGCTCCTGGAACCAGTCAAAATCGTGCATGGCTACTGGTCGAACTCCGTACTGTCAGGCACTTCGGCACCCAAAACTTGTGGATTGGTCTCAATGTACCTCGTACCGATGACCTGTTCACTTTGGGAGCGTGATCCTACGACATATCCTGATTAATATAAGGAAAAAGTGGAATCTGCTTAGGAGTAATTTCATGCAATCGACTATTTCGTCTTCTCCCATCCCGAGATTCAGGCTCACTCACAAGTGACCATGACCATATCCTTGGATTATAAGCCGTGAGGGGAATGACCGCAGGGCGGAAATCTCCAACGTCCCCCTATACCATATCCCTTCAATGCAACGACGCCGTACCTCCCAACTGTATTATACATATTGTGAAAGATCCGAGACACAAAAGAAAATTATGCGATCCACACCAGACATAATCATATCAGGTGTCGGACATCATAGCTGAATATCCTTGATAATGAACTCTTCCAAAACGTGAGCGCTTGGCAGTTGCTACTCATTCGTATCTTTTGTGACAATAGTCGATCGTCCAGTCTCCAAACTCAGTCTTGGACTGCAATCAATAACGCTGCTCGCTGGTGTGTCATCCGTGTTGCTGGGTGTGTATCGAAAGTCTTCGACAACGACCATTTCTCCTTCGAGCTCTTCTTCATATCGAGGTGGAGGTGTCACGTAAGATGGGGCGATATCGGAAAGTCCGCTGCTCCCGATGCCAGCATCGAGTTCCGCAGGTTCGAACCCGTCCCGATCACGATGGCCACGATACCCCGATCTTGCTCGGCCTTCTTCAGCATAAAATAGATCTCTGACGAAATCGGACGCATTTCGAAGCGTACGGATTTCCTTCTGCAATCCGCCGTCCTCTTCTTCTATAACGACTTCTTGATCAAGGAGCATCTCGCGCTTCTCCTCGTAGTCGCTGGTGTCCTGGTTTAGGAAGCTTTTCCACCAAGTTCTCCATCTATGCTTGCACGCAGCTTTGCGGTAAAGTCTCTTGGTTCGACGCTCTTCCCATCGGGCTGCGCGCTCAGCCCGTCGTCGAGGATCCCGGAACAAGACTATGGCACGGATAACCAAGCCGGCCAGTATAACAAGTAGAACAAGAAGGAGGATCGCCAATCCAATGCGGTATTCCAGGAGACGCCGTTCTGCAGGCGCAAAAGATGGGAAGTGTGGTGGTGGTCCGTGAGGGTGGCCATGAGGGCCGAAGCCGCCAGGCGGACCATGATGTCCCCCAGGGAAATGAAATCCTGGAGGCGGACCATGAGGTGGTCGAAATGGAGGATGATCTCCACCCATGAATGGAAAGTGGGGCCGATGGTCATTTTGTTCATTTGGAGGGGAAGTCGGTTCTGGTGCAGGAGTTGGTGAAGGGGTGGTAACTAAAGCCGCCGCTGGCGTCTGAGACACTTGTGCAGATTCGTCGCCTTCGACCGCAACAGACACTTCTTCTACTTCGCCTTCATGTAGACTATCACCGACCGCAAGGTTATCTTGGTCATCCGCAGAACAGGGTGACTGTGCATCGCCATCTCGACAACCACCATGTCGATTGCTGTGGTGCGAAAAGTGAGAACTAATGAGTTTGGCAATGGTTGGGGCTTCACTCATGGCGGTGTTCCACAAGCATTTCATGCTTGAGCAAGCTTTGAACTCTTGCTTGAGAAGAGAAATGATCTTTGTCTCCGTTGCGCGTATTTGTTCGTGAAGTGTTCCCATTTCACTGATCAACTCTTCGAGCTGGGAATACTCGGCCTGTAATGAGGTGTCAGAGGACGAGGCAAGGTTCGAGGCATTGGGAGTGATAGAAAGTCTTCGATCTTCTGATAGGAGCCAATCATCACAGAGGCTTTCTGATATGCGAGCAACGGGTTTGTCTTGAAGACGCAAGACAGAAGGTTGCCCTTTTTGCTTGAAGGAGGTGGCAAATCCAGAAGTGTCTTTGAAGGGATGATTTCCGACGATGCTCTCAAATCGAACGGAAATTATCGAGGCTTCGCCCTTCAAACAGGTTGACTCCCAAGAAGCATTGACCTCGCGTTCGGCTGAGCCATCTGAAGACTTTGAAATAAAGGAAATCTGACCATTGGCAACATCATTGCCAGCTCTCGACGGAATGAGAGAATGTCCATTCAAGCGCGGGGGAGTATCAGAGCACTCCTCTTCCGCAGAGTCGATCTCGAGGGTCAGCTCCTGTGAACACCAAGGTCAATAACTACAGCCAAAGACGGGACCGAGTCCATCCGACGTACCACTCCATCCTTTGCATCATCGAAACATTCGTGGCAGGGAGCGTAGAAGTGTATGGATAGATGACCAGGGTCTATTGGCTTGTCAGCTAACAGCCGGATCGTGAGAGTGATGTCCACTACCTGTTGTACCAGCAACAGTCGTTATGTCCTTTGGAGATGCACCAGACGACGAAGCAGGAAACGCAGATGCCGACGCCAGCACAGAAAACAAAGTAGCCCCACGAAAGAACGAAGACCTCATCTTCAGCCCAGAGATTGAAACAGGGCGACAGACGATTCGAATGAGTGGGACTATACCCGGGAATCAAACACTCGAGGTCCAATTGTACAGAGTATTGTTCAAATTGTATGGCATTCCCCACTAGAAAATGGGAGCAAACAGCTCACTTTTTTGCCTCACAACTCCATATTCAGATGCCTGAAGTGTAGGGCGGATGAGGATCAAGAATCGAAGAGGAAAAGAGCGGACGGTGGGCGTGAATACAGGATAGACTGGCAATGTTTCGTTTTTTGGCTGGAGCCTGAGCCTGAGGTTGGGCCTGACGAAAGAGTAGAAGTAGAAGAAGAGGAAGCGGATGGCGGCGCCAGACGCCACTTGGGCGTTTTGAGGTTTGGCTGCTCCATCGGAGACGGGCACGGTGCACTGCCCCGACGACATCTCGGCCACGTCGACCCTCCGGCTCCGAGTCTGACGCGTGGGATTAGGGGGGAGACATGGGTTCACAATGCTGGCGGGCCAGTAAAACTAGTCATCGTCTCGAGGCTGTGGCCCTCTGATGTCGGCTTTTGTTGTCTGTATTGTCGTCCTATCGAGAACTGGGTGGATTTCTACAACTGCTTGTTATAATCTGCGCAACTGTTTCTGCAATTAACCACCTGCCACTCACGTGCCATCCCACGTGACGGTCGCGCTTATGTAAACCATGACGCCAAGAATCAGAGTCACGGTTCCAGGTTCTTCCTGTTGCTGCCAATGAGGCGTAGTGTATCAAAATAATCCATCACCCCGTTGACCACCTACTAATAACCCCAAGAACCACGGCCACCGTCGCGCGCTTCTTATAGCCGACCTCGAAAAGCGCCATATCGCAAAACATCTGGGCGCAAGTTGAAGACGGATCAAAGGAGAATTCAGTCCGGTGGAACTCGTGACAACAATGCTGCCCCTCGGACTCCTGACGGCAGCACAAGGCCACCCCATGCTAGTGGAACTGAAGAACGGCGAAACTCTCAATGGCCATCTAGTAAACTGCGACACGTGGATGAACCTGACGCTCAAGGAAGTCGTGCAGACGAGTCCGGAAGGAGACAGATTCTGGAGACTCCCAGAATGTTATGTGAGGGGAAATAATGTGCGTCTTGATTTCCCGTTTGTGCGACTGTTGCAATGTGTCTTGCTATGCTCTATCCAATGGGTTGCATGCCCCAGCTGTAGCTTGAGCTCTGCGCCAGCTCTCCCTGACCATCAAGAGGTGCTTTGTGGATCACATGTTCTGTCAACTGACTATTCAACCTAGATCAAATATCTCCGAGTTCCAGAAGAAGTCATCGAATTCGCGAGAGAACAACAGCAGCAACAACAGCAACAACATCAGCAGGGTGGTGGACAGCGTGGTAGTCGGGGTGGGCAAGCTGGTCACGGTACCGGTGGAAGGGGAGGAGGTGATCGTGGACGAGGGGGCGGTGGACAGGGAAGGGGTGGCGGAAGAGGGCACGGTCGTGGGAGAGGAAGAGGACAGGGTTGAGGTGAATTCGCTTTTTGACGTGCTATATTGCACGTGTCTCTATGGGATATGCATCGTGACGATCATATCCCCGATGCTCAAAGATACCGAATCGTCAACAAACATTAACAGCACTTCACAATTTTACATCAAGGTCCGGATCTCGTCCAATTCAGGCCTTTCCCGGGACTCTGCAAATCAGTGCCCAATCGGCCAGCGAGAAGATAGAACAAGTTTTATCTGGTCTGCGATCGACATGCAAACCCAAAGCCATCATAATCTCCCATACAAAGATGGAGACATCAAAGCAAAAATTTTGAGGCCCCGTCATTTCCGACACACGCACACATACACAAACCAGGGCCCGGACTCCACCGCTATGCTTAGTCCAGATACAATGGCTTGCGACGCTTTCGGCAGTTTTCAGGGTTCACGATGGAAAGAATTGAAAAGAAACCATGTCTTGTCGCTCCGTCGTCTTCATCTCTTGGGAAGAGCCAGGTCCAAGCATTGTCCAATCTAGAGACGATTGTGTCAGTCAAGCGAGCCAGAAGACTAGACGTTCATAACTTACCTTATCCGAGATAATGCCCTGACCTTGTAAGTACCACCCCAGTCTCCTCACAAGTTCCACCTGCTCTTCGGGGGTGAGGCCCATAATGGCGGTCTCGAGCACACCGCCCACTGACGTCTTATACACAGCAATGAAGCTCTGGTAGTACATGTAGGCAAACAAACCCATGATGAATTGACAGTCCATGCGATCAGTCATACCTCCGTGACCCGGAATACTGTCGCCAAAATCTTTGATCTTAAGGGTTCGCTTCAGTCCCGAGGCGAAGAAACCTCCAAAGGGAGCGATCAGCGAAGCGAATGATGCAAAGACAAGAATATGGAACTGTATAGGGGCGATCCAGAATGTGTAGTCGAAGCCAGTCCAGTCTTTGATGTTGTACGGGTAGGCTTTGAAAACCGGATTGGGGTCGCATTCGAGACCAGTAAAGATATTTGCACCGAGATCGTTGACGGGACAAATGAAATATTTGTAGCGCATCAGGATGTTGGTGAGAGCAAAGCCGAAGAAGATTGTGCAGATCCAAGCTCCAACAAATCCCTCGACAGTTTTCTTGGGTGAGAGGCTGATAAGTTGGGTACGGCCAAAGGTGATGCCGCAGATGTATGCAAAGATATCGTTCGTGATGACCAACGACGCGGGAAGAAAGAACCATATCATGCCTTCAAAGACGTTATTCATCATGAAGTGTGCTTGGACGACAATCAGATAGAGTGCCATATGAGTCCAGGCGAACTGGGCGAACTGAAACCGATAATAGTTTTTCCGCAGCGAGGCGACAAAGGACATGAATCCTATCCAAGGGTAAGCATTGGAACACGGGACCACCAGACCTTCGACACATACCGAATATATACATCATGAAGCTGATGAACCTATGATGGGTCGCAAAAGGCAGCAAGACTTTATCCACCAACAGGATGTGCTTGAAGTAATAGATGACGCTTTCGCCGTACAGGAAGTACATGGTGATAGCCAAGAAGTACCAGTTCAAAGAGGTTGTCAATGGGAGATTCTTCTGCTTGGTCGGAACTTGCGCGATAGCGATCACCTCCTTGAAGGAAACGATCTGGACAGCAGTAATGACCATTAGGACATAGACGTGACCCGCAAACATTGCGCCGAAAAAACCACCTATCATCGCCAGTGTCCATATTGTCCGTGTTATAAACGTCTGCTTCTTTTTCTCGTACTCGGACGCTTGATCTGGCTTTTCGCCCTTCACAATATTTCCATTAGTGCTGCTGTTGTGGTGATCTCTCTGAGGGCTCGGGGGTTCAGAGGCAGAGTCGCTAGTAGCGGAAGAGCTTTGTCGACGGTGGTGGTTTCCATTACCATTACCATTGCCGTTGCCGTTGCCGTTGCCGTTGCCATTGCTGTTCGACCGATGCTGGAACTTAACGCCCTTTTGCCGGGGCATAGCTCCTTGTGCGCGGCGTGGAAGAGCCGCAGGAAGAATGCTGTGTCTTCTGCGTCAGGGTTGATGCGCTGGTTGAAGATGGAAGTCGCAGGATGAGAAGGAGAGGGGATGCCTCGCTTGACACGTGCTTGATGGCTGGCTGCCTGAGACGGGCTTTTCAGGAGCAACACTAATCGCAGCTGGAGGTCCCGATCTTATTCTTGTTTGTGCATGGATAAGCGTCTGTGCTAGATCAGTAGTAAGCAAAGGATGCGCCGACGGTGAGTGACAGATCAGTATGTACTGTAGGACAGTAAATGAAAGATGATCTCAAATCAACCAAGTTGGGACCAGGTCGGGCCCCCAAAAAGTAATTGGAACAGGCAAACAGGGTAACAAGGTAGGCCAGCTTATTCCTTGGAGCTAGATTTGCGTCATACAGCGAAACCCCCGCTGCAGGCATTGCAGCCACTGCCCCAAGGACCCTTAAATCTAGGCATTACGACCTGAGAAATGATGCTCGGAGTTGTGATTGTTCCGGGCGCTTGTCACTCGCTGGTGATCCTCACTAGGCTCATCCGCACCCGCTAATGCACCCTTCACAACTTCGCCCTTCGCTAACACCGAAAGAACCACTAGAGACACTCGTCTCTAACAATCCCCCTCGCTATCGCGTCGAATCCGCGTTTTTGATCGAACGCTGTGTGCCTTCACACAACTGCCAGGCACAACAAGAGCCTCGACACGTGAACTTATGCCATTTGTGTCACTCTCTAGTTCTATTGCGCTCCTCAATGGAGGTCAAACATGAGTGGCATGGACGACAACGAAGACGAGACCGATCTTTTCGACGACGATGATTTCGACAATCTATCGGAGTCCGCTTTACAGCAACTAGAATACCATGCCATCCTATCGACCCAGAGAACGCAAGCATCCAAACATGTCCCTCTCACTGCGCACCGGTCCACAAATTTGTCGCAGTCGAAGATTCAACCTCTTGCACAATCCAATGCTCGGTTCCCGTGTGCGCGTCCAGCTATTCAGAGATATGCGACGGAGGACGATGATAGCTTTGAGCTGGTTGGAGAAGAGGGCGTGCCCACCCCAGTAGAAGATCAAGATTCTTATCCTATACGTCGAAATCAACTCAGCGAGGCTGCTCAGAGAGCACAATTCCGCCAACAACGGTATGGCCAAACCCATGGTGCTGTCCCCCGTCCACCGGTCGACGAGGCGGACTGTGGACATCAGAGAGTTTCATTCGAGGCAGCTTCAACACATGGTCTCAATCATGGGGCTGCAACAAGACTGGACGAAATGTCGTTGGACACTCCGCCGCGACAAACCGGCACGGCTGCTCGTGATACTTCCCACAGCCGTGTCGACGAACTGCTCCGAGAGCGGGAAGAACTTGCTCGGGAGTTACAAGCTGTCAGAGACACAGTCTCCATGCAAAAGGGGGAGATATCTATCATTCGAGCGAACTTTGAGAAAGAAAGCAGAGTCTACGACCGACAAATTGGCGCTCTGAAAAAGTCAATGGAAGAAGAATCTGCAAAACATGCTGCTGCCCTCAACGCTTTGGCTGAAAAGAATCATAATATTACCACTCAATTCCAGTTCCTCAAGCAAGAACACAATCAAGGCCTTCAAGAGACCAAGACCCTCAGGCAACGTTTGAAGGATAAACAGGCGGAGAGGGATGCAGACCTTACGACAACTCCCAAGCGCGGCGTCGCGAGCTCTCTCAGGGACGGTTTCAATGATGATGATATTATGCTCATGTCGCCTTCGAAATCTGCGGGACGTTCCAAGCCGCCGACACCAACGGCAGCAGGCAAGCGAAAGCGAAAACCTGACCGGCCAAGTCCTGTGAAGCCGCTTGTTTTGAGGCCTAGCAGTACTGCGAGCCAAAATGAGATGCCGCCCCCGCCGCATCCGTTGCAATCTATAGAGCCCATTATCCCCATTGTACGAAAAGACAAACAAGCGGAACACAACCTCAAGTTCCTGCAATCTATCATCGAGTATCGCCTCACCAGCTCCAAGGAGCCAGTCTTCGAGGCTTTGCTCAAATTCGCCTTTCCCTCGGACCCATCCAAAACATTCTCAGGACTTTTATGGGAGGGTATTGCTCAGCTCGGGGGGAAACGCTTCGCCGCCGACTTGCTTCAACTCTTGCTAGATATGTGGTCCAAGTCATTGAAAGAACAATACTATAGCCCGATTGCCGCCTTGCGAGAGATAGCAAACCAGATCATCGATCTCGATATGCTGCTTATCGACTCGGGCATTATTACTGCCATGATCCCAGTCCTGAAGTCCACTATCACGATCAATGCCGAGAAACGCTTTCAACACTCACCAGTGAATCACACGACATATGGTAAGATCCGCCAGACGCCTCAATCGGTTCTAAACCCTGAGGTTGTAGGGACGAGCTGCTTGGAGCTCATGCTCACAGTCGCCTACGCTGTGTCAGACGATCCAGACCTGATTGCTCTTTTGTGGCGTCTTGTGGACCACGAATTCATCCTGATGATGCTTAACGCCTGGCAGCCAATATCTGATATAGCACTCATGCTGCGACTACTTGCCACAAGCATCCTCCCTTCCACATTCGGCAGCATCTGTGTCGATGGCCCGCAATCAAAGGTCGAACACTGGTTGATGAGTCGAATCTGTTCTCTCCTTAGAGAAACGCCCAATGTCGATGAAGGTGTTACTAGGTACACGGCCCAGGATTTCTGCCAACTGCGTATCGAAGCCATGGACCTCCTCATTAAAATAGGAATAACGTCGTCTCCACATCCGCATGATGATCCCTCCCATCACGGCAGCCTTCTTATCGCAAATGACACGAATGCCATCGCGCGCATTGTCCGCAGCTTGTACGACCAAGTCTCGGCAATGTACTCGCTCCATCCAACCACGCACACTTTGTACGCCTGTCTGATCAATAAAACCGTTTTCCTTCTCTATCACCTTTTGCAGCTCCACGGCTCCGCCATCCAACTGCCAGAAAAGCTGTCGGTAATCAATGGT